TTATCTCTGTTTATTCTTCTACCATTCTATCGCTCCTACCTACAAACATTTCGAGTATCGAAAAAATACGTGTCCACGCCTTGTAGTATGCAGTCGCGCACAAACACACACATATAAAACCAGGAGCGATAACTACGAAGCATAGCATAAAGTCATTTATTGCTCATTATACTCATTATTTAGTATAGCAGCCGTTTCACAGCTTCGTTACATAGCTGCGTTTCCGTTTATTTACTTTTCAGATCACTCCCATTCTAAAGAAGTTTTCACTTCAAAAATAAAAAGAATAAAAAATGGCGCAACCAACCAGCGAAGTTGACGTGACCCGTGCCGACATTTACACACAGGAAATCAACGCCAGTGAATTTAGAAATTTAATGCTCTCAGCTTTTTGGAAAGAAGAACCAAATTTATGGTTTGTAATGTTAGAAAAGGAATTCGCGGCGTACAACATTAAATCGGACGCCGTAAAGGTTTCAGCGGTAGTAAGGAATTTGGATACCACGCTGATAAAAGAGGTATACGACATCTTAACATCCCCCCCCCCGAGCAATGTACGCACACACATTTAAAAGAAGCATTAATACACAGACTAACTAAGTCCGACGAACAACGGCTAAGGCGATTATTAATGGGGATTGAATTAGGAGACAAAAAACCATCCGAACTTTGGAGAGAAATGAAACGCTGAGTAGGTGATAGTGTTAGTGAAAAAATGCTTCTAACTTTATGTATGCAAAGGCTACCAATCAGGGCACAAGGGATCCTGGCAATCGCAGACGAAAATACGTCACCCGCAAAATTAGTGGAAATGGGTGACAAGATCCTAGAGAGAAAGAGAGAGCGTCTGCCAGAAACGGCCGCCATTTCGGAAAAAGCGCTAATAGGAGGTGCGCTCAAACAACAGCCAATCGCGAGGTAGCAGAATTCAGGCGGGAAGTCGCGCAACTAACAGAGAAGATAGAAAAATTGATGCGCGGCAAAAGAAAATACCGAAGTTTCCGCGGAAGATCCCGAAGTCGAAGCCGATCGTCAAGCACTCACCGAAACGATGACGGCCTATGTTATTACCACTGGAAATTCGCGGAACGACCGTGGAAGTGCAGATTCCCGTGCAAGTGGACAGGCCCGGATAAAAGAAAGCCTTCGGAAAACTAGTGCAAGCGTCTCGAATAGAGGCGGTTGACGACGCGATGAAAAACCTGCGCCTCATGGTAAATGATAGGAAAACAGGAGCATGTTTTCTAATAGACACTGGCGCAGACGTCTCAGTTATTACACGTGCTTCGTTAAATGAAACCATTAAATTTTGGACTTCGTAGAGATTTTTAATGGAGATTCATTATAGCGAATGTTTCTAAGGCAATAATAGGCGTTGATTTCTTACATTTTAATAATTTACTATCAGATTTAGGAAACAAAAAATTGTTGGATGGCAATACATTGCTTTCTAGGAAAGCAGAATTAGTAAATATGGACGTTCTAACCATTTTGACCATTAATAGTAATAGTCCGTATTCAGAACTTTTTAGGGAGTACGCAAATTTAACGAAACCAACTTCAAGGAAACCCATCAGCCACACGGTGAAACATTATGTAATCACAAAAGGTTCTCCGATAGCAGAGAGAGCAAGAAGACTAGATCCGAAAAAACTGCGAATCGCACGAGCCGAATTTCAGCAACTAGTTAACGAAGGAATCTGTCGCCCGTCCAAGAATCAGTGGGCGAGCCCTCTGCATATAGTACCAAAGAAAAATGGCGAATGGAGGCCATGTGGAGATTATAGACGATTAAATAGACGTTATGGTACCAGACAGGTACCCCATTCCACATGTACACGACGTCACGCAACAATTTCGTGACTGTAATATATTTTCTACAATAGATTTGTCAAGAGCATATCACCAAATTCCGTTGGCTGAGGAGGATATAGAAAAAACAGCGGTAATGACACCTTTTGGTTTATTCGAGTACACAGTGATGCCTTTCGGCTTATGTAACGCAGAGCGATCATTCCAAAGGTTTATGAATATACTGTTAAGCAAATTAGATTTCTGTGCCTGTTACATAGATGATATAATTGTAGCGTCTGAAAGTAAGGAATCTCATGAAAAACATCTGCGTGCTATATTCGATAGACTTAGGCAATATGGACTAACAATAAATATTTCTAAGTGCAATTTCTTTCAAAATAGTGTAAGCTACTTAGGTTATAAGAAAGATAATAAGGGTATAGCGCCATTGGATGAGCGAGTCCACGCTATACAGAACTATACCATACCAAAGACTGTTTCAGATATGCGACGTTGCCTTGGGGTAGTGAATTTTTATAGGAGGTTCTTACCAAAGGCTGCAGAATGGCTTGACCCACTTAACAAATATATGATAGGTGCCAAGAAGCACGACAAAAAACTGATAGAATGGAATCAAGCATCGGACGAAGCTCGCAAGAAAGCCAAAGAATCAATTGCCACAGCAACGTTGTTGGCATATCCGAAAGAAAAAACAATATTAAAGTTAAAGACGGATGCTTCCGATAACGCAATTGGAGCAGTTTTAGAACAATTCTGCGACAACAAATGGGAACCACTAGGATATTTCTCAAGGAAACTGTAAAAAGCGCCAATTAGATATAGTGTTTACAATTGGGAATTATTAGCTATTTATAAGAGTTTAAAGTTTTTTGAATTTTGTCGAAGGAAGAGAATTAATAATAGAAACTGACCATAAACCATTGTCATATGCTTTTAATCAAAATACGGACAAAGCAAGCCCAAGACAAGCCAGACAGTTGGATTACGTAGGACAGTTCACTTCCAAAATTGTTTACGTTGCTGGAAAAGACAATGTGGCAGCTGACGCTATGTCAAGACTGGAAACCATAGACATGCCAGTCCTAGTATCGACAGAAGAGCTAATGGCAAAGCAGCAAGAGGATGACGAACTAAAGAATATTTTAGCAGAAGAAAAATGGAACCTGCAAAAGATTTTCCTCGATAGCTCTGATAAATATATTTATGGCGACATAGTAGGAAAAAGCATAAGACCATACGTTCCGGTTTCTTTACGGAGGCAGATTTTTAAAAACATACACAATTTGTCACATCCCAGCGGCAGAGTAACAAAACATCTAATAGGAAAAAGCTTTATGTGGCCAAAAATGAACAAAGATATTGCAGAATGGTCAAGTACATGTTTAGCATGCCAAAAGTGCAAGATAAGCCGTCATAACAAACAGGTACCTTCGAAAATAGAAGTACCACAAGGACGTTTCGAACATGTACACATAGATTTAATAGGTCCATCACCAACAATAAAAAATATTAAATATTACCTAACTATGATCGATAGGTTTACTCGGAGGGCAGAAGCAATTCCAATGCTTGATACCTCAGTAGATACAGTAGCAACAACATTCTTTTCGCAGTGGATCTCAAGATTTGGTTCTCCTATTACAATTACAATTGATCAAGGAACGCAATTTGAAAGTTAACTATTTGAAACGTTAACCAAATTAGTCGGAGCGAAAAGAATTAGAACAACAGCATATCACCCTGCATCAAACGGAATGATAGAAAGATGGCATAGATCACTTAAAGCAGCAATAATGTGCCATGAAGAAAAAGACTGGGTAGGAATACTACCAACAGTGCTCCTTGATCTACGCGCAAGCCTAAAGGAAGATATAAAAGCTTCTGCTGCGGAATTAGTATATGGTAAAAACATAAGACTACCAATAGAATTCTTTCTCAGCGAAGAACTATTACAAGATCCACACATATTCTTAGAAAAATTAAGACAACATATAAGGCAAATCAGACCGATACCTACAGCGCACCATATTAAAAAGAAACACTTTATTCAGGATAGGTTGTATACATGTACGCACATATTTCTAAGGGTCGACGCTGTAAAAAAAAACAATTAGAAGCGCCTTACGAAGGCCCATACGAAATTATACAAAGAATTACAGATAATATTTTCAAAATTAACTATAAAGGAAAACATATATGTATCTATTGAAAGAATAAAACCAGCGTTCGTCGAAAAAGATTGCAATACCAATTCATATGTACTAATTAAAACTTATTAAGTCAGGATAGAGATAGTACAATATTTTTATATATCTGTATATATTTTTATATATTTTTATATTCTTGTAAACATGTATAGATTTAAGTTTCGCATTTTATGCAATAAGAAAAATGCTCTAAAGGGGAGTAATGTAGCGGTACGACCGAAGGTCGCGCCCTCTAAAGTTACTAGAAGGTTAGGGAACCACGCTAAGAAGAAGCGGAATACAGACACTAGTCTGTACGTAGCCGTTGATAAGTGTACAATAAAGAAAAGCAAGTCGCATCCTTTAAATAAAAGTAACAAAGAAAATTCAGTCTAATTTTACTTTTACTATAGAGAAACCCTCTACACAAAGTAAACCATTTCTGACACTCCCTCCCTTTGTACATACAGCTTTTAAGGATAATGACTAACATATAATTACCAAAATTTCATCTAAAATCGACTAATGATCATGTATACTTATAATACAAAATATCAATAGCAAAGAAAAGTGGTAGATTGAGTATTAATCCGAAGTTCCAAATAAAATACGGTTCTTCAACTCCGCTCTCTGCTAGGACTGAAAATTACTTTCTGCAAAAGATCAAGTAATTATATAATTAACCTTATTATTTTAGATATTATTTATGTTATTGATATTTAACAACTATATCATTTAAAATTTTATCAACAAAATACTCATCATTATATTTCTGAGTTTGATATGTGATGTAGAGGGTAAAGGTTTAGTCATGATATCCGCAATGTTTTTTTTAGAGGATATCAATTTGACTTTTAATTTTCCCGCCAGGACACATAATTTAATAAAATCACTATGAGTATCAGCCATTTGAGGTTTCTTGCCTGTCTTTTCTCTTTCAGCTAGGTTAGACTTGATGAGTTCAACGTCGAAGTCTTTCAATTTGTGATTTCCCTCCATTTAAGTACAGTTACAGGCTGATTTATTATCACATCTAATAGAGACTGGATACATAGATTTCCCTATTATATCTCTAGTCGCTTTATCCAAGAAAATTATTTCCTTACAAGATTCGCTCATGGTAAGATATTCTGTTTGACAGGTTGATGTAACAGGAGAGGACTGTTTATGGCTTCTCCAAGCTACTATATCACCATACACTTGGATTATGTAACCTATGGTTGAAGTCGACTTTTCACGATCTCTATAGTACAAACCCAAATCAGTTGTTCCTCTAAGATATCTGAAAATTCTTTTGACTTCGGTCCAATCTCCTTCAGTTGGATTATTCTGTCTTCTAGACAATAAATTCACAGCATATGCTATATTTGGTCTAGTTGCATCAGCAAGATACAGCAAAGTCCCTATAGCCTCTCTATAACGTGCATTAGTTGGAACATTGGAATCATCTAATTTTATTTTGTTTTTATTGTTTCTGTGTTTTTGTCTTGTTTAGTTATCATGAGTGTGTCTTGAGCTTTACATTCTTTCAACTCAAATCGTTTTACGATTTTTTTTTCCAGTGTACTCAGGTTGTGTAATAGACATTTAACATTTACTTCTTTCACGGTGAATCTCCACTCCCAGAAAATTCTCCGGTTCTCCTAAGGTTTTCATTTCAAAAACATTACTGAAATGACTTATAATTTCATCTAATTTTTCAGGTACGTTGATAGCTGCAATCATATTATCTACATATAAAATTACACTAGCATTTTTCCCTTCTTATCTGCAGGTAAATAAGCATGGCTTATTTAAGACATTCTCTAAACCTATTCATCACTGCAATCATAGCCTTCTGGAATCTCCATAAAAATAGTCTTTTCTAGAGTACCAACCATAAAGGCTGTTTTTATATCAATTTGACTTGCGTCTAAATCAAGTTTACTTGTGATTGCTAGTGGTAATCTAATTACTCTGGAAGTCTTGAGACTTGAGTATAAGTTTCTTTCAACTCACACTTGTTCACATCTAGAAAATCTTTTACAACCACCTTATAGATTGTTTATCCAGTTTTGCCAATTTTGGTTTTAAAGAAAACCCATCTAGAGTTCACTACATTGGCCCTTACAGGTCTATTCACCAGTTCGTAGACTTTATTATCTACTATTGATTTTAGTTCTTCATTAACTGCATTTACCCAATCAACGCTGTCTTCCCGCAGTAAGCACTTTTTTTAATTACTGGGGTCCTTGTTGATAGAGGCAAGCATAGTAAATAAATTTTTCTTCCTTTACAATTTTGAATTTCTCTATTGTTTTGGTATATACGAAGTTTTCATCTATCTTGGTCTTTGGTTTTCTTTTTGATGTTCTCAGCTTCATAGATTTGTCATCAGTCGATACATTTTCATCTAATTTACGCTTTTGGATTTCTCAGGCTGGACTATTTTATTGTTTGAGTATTTCACTACAGGGTTAATTGTACAAGAAGATTCAGAGTCGATTCTCCCATCTATTGAATTGTCATCTGTTTCTACGACAATTGGATTTCAATGGTGGGAGAATCCTTAACTTCTAGGTCTTTCGTTTTGAAAATATCTTTGTAAACTAGTTTTTCATTAAGTGTAACATGCCTTGAATTTAAGAATTTACCTGAGGTTGGCTCCCACAATACATATCCAGTACGTGAGTAGCCTACCAGTATGGCTCTTATTGCTCTTTCTAAAAACTTTTTTCTGATATTGGAAGTTTAACATAAGCTAAACATCCAAACCTTTTAATTTTATCCATATGTGTGCTAATCTTTGCATTAATTTTATTTAATGGTGATACAAACCCATTAGTTTTGTGAGGAGTACGATTGTACATATTAACAGCTGTTTCAGCTGCCAATATCCACATCGATTTAGGTAGACCAGAGTCAAACAATAACGCTCTAGTTTTCTGTTGTATTGTTTTGTTGAATCTTTCGGCTGTACCATTTAACTCTGGAGTATAAGGTGGTGCACAATCTGATTCTATCTTCTCTTTACGTATAACTTCTAGAAAATCTCCTCCCGTAAACTCCCTAGCATTATCAGTTTTAATGTAGCACACCTTTTCATTTTTACCCAATAGATTTCTAGTTGTTGTTATGAAGTCTTCTAAACAATTAGCTGCTTCATTTTTATTTTTGATAGCATAAATTTTTGCAAGTCTCGAGAAATCATCTACAAATACCATAATGTATTTGTAAGCACCTGGAAACGAATTTATTTTCAATTGTCCCATTGTGTCTACATGAATTGTGTGCAACGGTCTATCTGCTATCAATCTGGATTCTTTAAAGGGTAGTTTTTCCATCTTAGCAAGAATACAAATTTCATAATCTAAAATATTTTCTTTAAAGTGTATGTTATTCAATGACTGCTCAGATTTTTTTAGTTCTTTTAGATAATTTAAGCTTGGATGATCTAATTTTATGTGCCATATCATGCCTTCATCTATTTTTGTTATTTTCATTTGTTGTATATTATTTTCAGCACTTTTAATGTTATTAAATTCTTCTAGAGCATCAGCTGAAATAAAGTCTAAAATTTTTCTAATAAAAATTTGTTTATCTAGCATAAAGTTGGTGACTTCAGCTTCCAAATTACTTCTATCTTTCTCCAAAAGGTTTTCCTTCTGACTCTTCCTCCCAAACTCAGATGGTGTTGATTTATAAGATAGAAATCTCCCTCCATTTTTGCAACTTTAAATCACCAGGTTCCGTCCGAGATTGTTCGGAAAAATCATTTGGAGAAATAATTTCAGCAGTACAAGAATACGTTGTGTAATCTGACTTACTATTTTCTTTTGCAAATTTCACCTCAAAGGTGACATGCCAGTTAGGTTTAACGTATTTTCCCATCAAACATGTTTCACCTGTTTCTTTGTCAAATATTTCTAATTTTTTATCATCTAGAAATATTCCTAAATCTGCGTCTGCAAAACGTCTGAGAGAAATTAAATTATTTGCTATATTTTTTGCAGATAATACGTTTGTTAATTTTTTTATTAAGTTTTGATTTTTAGTAAAGGTCGCCGATCCCATCTATTTCTATATCAGCTGATCGGTTTTATTTGCACTTTTAATTACCTCGCCTGTGCAATGTTTAAAATTACTTAAAAACAAGCTCTTGTTAATTATATGTTCAGTAGCACTTGAGTCTGCAATAAACGAAATATTATTTAAATTATTTGTACATTCAAAATTCCCACTTGTTTGATGTGCTTGTGGATTCTGTTTATTTCCATCCTTTGGTAGAGCTGCTTGCTGTTTGGACGGCTTCTGCTTGGTTTTGGTATATCCTCTGAATTCACCACTGAATTCTGCTCTGAAAGTCAAACCTTTCCTAAAATCACCTTTATCTCTAGCTCGACCCCAACCACTACCACGTCTGTAGTCTGACCTTCCTGAATATCGATTGGCTGCCATATTTTTGGACAACTACTCGTATTGTGATTCGTTTTGGTGTTACAGAAATAACAATACCATTCGCCGGTTTCTTCTAGGGAAGTGGTCGAGTTAAGTAACTTACCTCGAGCGCTTAACATTCGTGGCTGCTCAATAGTAAGGAAATTTTCAGATGTCTTTTGAATGCGACTCATTAAAATTTTCATTGACTCTAAACTTTTGTTTTGAAGCTCAATGTTTTCTCTCTATTTATGCAGAACCTGTTATAGTTTTTGAATAACCTGTGAAATCTGTTGCTGCTGTTGTGTTTTGTTCAGTGATTGACATACCACCACCGCTGCCACTCGATTGAGTTACTGTGGTAATCATTTGATTTGTCATGATGTTTGACAGAGTTATTAGTGTACTCGTCTGTACTGCAGTAATATTTGACTGCCTCATAACTTAAAGTGTACCTGTTGACATTGTTGGGCTGACGGATACTCCAGGTCCTTTATAAATAGAATTATTTTAGTTTGGATTTTTATTTTACGTTTAATTGAATAAACGTAACTTCTCTAATAAGAAACTTTTAATAATCTATAAGATTTTCTAAAGTCTTATCAAGTTTTACGATTAACTAAACAACCGTAACTTTTAATAAGAAACTTTTCATCTTTAAAAGTTCCTAAATTTTTTTTTCTCAAGTTTTACGATTCTATAACTAATCGTAATTTGTACTAAGAAACTTTCTATCTTTAAAAGTTTCTAAACTTTTTTTTCAGTTTTACGATTTTATAAGTATTAATCGTAACTTCTAGAATAAAGTGAGAAATATTATCTATTTCTATAATATTGTCTGACGCGTCAGGTGGATTATTCACAGTCTCTGTATACTCGAGCCTACGTTCGACGTTCTGCTCATTCATTGTTTCTTCTCTCACGTCTTCAACTTATAAGCCTTATGAAACAAACGAAAATTATCAGAGACTAATATATTTCAACTGCACTGCAAGTTGCGAATGAGAAAAGTGAGATCAGTTGCAACTCCTGCATGCAATAGCATGCTACACGTGCTCCCTCTCACCTCGAAACAAACGACACAGCACGTTTAAACGTTTGGGGATAGCCGTACGTTCACGTGTAACACACAAATCACAGACTAGAGTAGCAACCGATTTAATCGAGACAAAGCTTAGTACTGTACTACAGACTTTACCTTGAGTCGATAATTAAATTTGTGGAGTTTTAGGCAGAGAGAAATATGTATATCGATTTGATATAATATAGTTTATTCAGTTATAATGATGTGATGTCGAGCGATATTTACATAAATTTACAAAAAGTGACGTGGTTACAAAAATACAGAATACAAAAGGGTTACAAATATAAGACCGACTGACTGATTTGCAGAATAACAGATAACACACAGACAGATACAGACGGACTGTACGATCCGAAATGATCGTACGGTAATTAGCGGTATTCGAAAATCGCGCGCGTGCGATTCTATCGATTAATATAATATTCTTGATCGATACTCGTTAGGAGTATCGAAAACTACAGGCGAATTTCGAAGCGCTCCTATAGTTACCCTCACCTCTCGCATCCCCACTTCTCACATCCCTAGCGTATGCGCCCTGCTGGGCGAGTACAAAAGGACATTCTTACTATTTCACCACTGGACGCCTGTAAATATACATCCAAGTCGAAACGAGAAAGCAAAGTGCTAAGTCAAAGGAGTTAAGTTGAGATAGTTAAGTCAAGGGAGTTTAAGTCGTAACGAGAGATGAGATCTTTCCTTTATATTCATTTCATGTTGACGGTAATTTCCCGCGTGGGAACGCCACGTGGTGGATTCTTATTGTTATAATCTAATATCATCCAGGGTTTTTATGCCGCAAGGCTTTTCCCTGACGAGCCAATAAAGCATTGCATCTTGGTTTGGCTCAATTACGTGTTTTCTTTTACACCTAAACCTAACCCTTTATTCTCCACATCATAGCATATACGAAATAGCCAGAGGACTCCTAATCGAGAGGCCCATACACGGACTAACTGAGGACTCAAGACTAAGGACACTTTCTTACTTCTTTCCACATATTTATATCAGAAATGAGCTACATCTCTTTGGAGTGGGAAGAAGATTATGAATCTTATTGACCAATAGCATAACTCCATAGTCCACCGATGGGTACAGCCTATGTTTTTTTTTTTGTAGTGGAAACCATACATAAAGCAAATTGATCTAGAATATCGAAATGTTATTTATTTATGGTATCGTACGTGCTTAAATAGGAATCTAAAACTCCTCAAAGGTCCCGAAACCG